TTTTCTAAACCATGTAATAGCAGCCTCGATGCTATTGAGACATTCAGACCAACCCTCTCTCCCTGCATCCCTTTTTCTGCCTACCTGTAATGATTAGTTGAACATCCTGTCTCAGGAAGGAAACTAAAGATTTTTATGATTTGGTTTAGTCTCGTGTTATGGGTAATTTTCAACCTAGCGTATCTGATTTAAAAAAATAATAATAATTTAAACTTTGAAGAAACCAAGTTAGACATCAGATCTGTCTTTTTTGGCATTGTGAGTATAGCTTTCCTTGAGCAGCTGCCTCAAGGTTGAAGACTTCCTGTAGAGGTTTTCATGGTTCAACATCCTTGAGGATGTTGGCAAACTTGGGCTCTCATGAAATAAAACATTAAACAAACTCGAAACTAATCAGAAGGCTGAGTTTAAAGGAGAGTGTAAATCCATATTCTTCTCATTTTATTTAGATGATATTTTATTTGTCATCATGCTATTTAAGCAACATATATCAAGCACTAAACACATTTTCCCTGTCCAACCCCCCACAAAAAAACTCTTCTCTGTTGAGTTACAATTTGGTCCTTCAACAAGTTTCTGAGGTGGCATGCTCGTAAGGGATTGTTTCATAATAGGAACAAATACGTATTCCACTTCCTTATGCTTGAGTTCTTGTATCACTCAACGGAAACAGGAGTGACAGAAAACTAATAGCTGTATGTGTAATGAAAACTCCGGCCTCATGATTATTGTAACAGGCTGCCACGCTCTGCTGGAAGATTTTCAAGCTGTACAAGAATGAATGGTGGCCCATTTGCACAGAGTAAAGGGAGTCCGGATATATATGCAGCTGCGATGACAGATGTTTAAAGGTGAGAAATTAAAGGTGAGGGCCAACACCGACCACTGGCTCAGACTTGAGGAAATAACTGTAGTATTATCCGGTAAGTCTTAAAATAAACTCTGTCTTCATGTCCGCCCTATACCTACCTTTTCAGCTCTTTTGGTTGTGGCTGTTGGTTTCTTGACTCAGCTCTCTTCCTAAATCTCTTCATGTTACAAAAACATTCCCATCCTCATAGCCAGACTGTCCACAAACTATCAAACCGAAGGAACAACTCAGGTCAGGCTCCTGTCTTTTGGGCTTGTTTGGATAAAAGTGTGATTTCACTTCTGTCTGATTGGTTTGGGATGACATTAAAGGTAACTGGACGCAACAGATTGCAAGGAGTCGATCTGAGAGAGCTGGTGGTGAGACTTTGGGTCAAACTAGAAGAGATTATTGGGTAAGGAGAGGGTCAGTGGGAGCAAAACGGCTGAAAGAGCCCCATTCATCGGCGAAACCAGGAAAGGAAAGCAGTGTGTGTTCCAAACTCAACGTCAGCGCTTAGTGGGTCTCACCGAGCTTGATTTCACCATCATCCACAACCCTTCTCCCCTAAACATCACATTTGATGGCAAACGAGCCGGTTATGAGGCTGACTCAGCTCCCGTTCTCAGAGCGTTGATGGCACAGACCACCAAAGTTTTATGGAAGAGAAAGCTATTTGTACAATGGGAAATGTAATATTTCCTGGCTCATTTTTACTCTAAACATCGTAATATGTTGAATTAAATATTGATGTGGCTAAAATAGGATTTTAGAGAGCATAGTGAAGAAACAGAAAAGAAGTGGGGGACTAAATAACTTCACATCCTTGAGCGCAAGAAAAAAAGAAGCTGAACATTTCCTTTGGCTTTGATGACATGTTTCAGTAAAATGATGGGGATGTTTGTACAGGTTACCCTCGTAAATGGCAGTCTGTTTCTCAGGAAATAAATCTACTTTACATTCCGCACATTTAGCAGCTCACATCTGTGCTCACTTTGCAGGTAATTACCTACAACTGCAGCTGGTCGGGTTTGTTATCACTGGACACCTTCAGTGTGTCACAACTTGTTGGCGCTGCCACACTGATACAGTCGTAAAACTGATTCAGTTAAAACACTTCCACAGATGTGTTAATATCTTATAGGAGTTGAGTCACTATTATAAAAGTAACTGAAACAAATACACTGGTACACAGGGTCCCTTTTGTGATTCTTTGTTGCAGATGTGCATCCAGGTGGCTTTGCAGGAGGGTCATAATGAAGTGTTGTGTCTGGCTTTACTGACCAGGTGCTGCTGCAGCTCCACAAGAGCCAAATCAAATACACCTTCAGTCGAAGGACGCTGGAGCTCTGCCTCGAAGACTGCCTCACCTGTGAGGTCCCACCTTGTATGGCCTGATGTGTGAATGTTGAAACTGCCAGAGAGAGGAAATCTTAGAGCTCACACCTTTCATTTGATGAACAGAAGTTTTTTTTTTTTTTTTTACACGTATATAGTCACATGTTTTGTGCAATGCAAATCAGTGGTTTTGGTTTTTGAAGCTGACATGGTAAACCACACGCTGTCAGATTCACACCCACACGAGCTTGCAAAAAGAAACCAAAGCACCAAGATTAGTCGTCAGTTGTTTTTGGATAATCAGATGTTCGCTATTGCTGTAACTTTAAACTGAAGCTAAAAATGAAGCCAATTAACTGGAGTAACTGTACTTAAGCTGTGTATTCTGAGCACTTAAACAATAAATGAGTCAGCTAAACGCTATCAAGTGAAAGTTTTAGGCATTAGAATGTTTTATATGGGATTTGTCAGTTTGCATAAAATCTTAAAATCATGTCTTTTTTAACTTGAGTGCTTCTGTAGTTACGGCTTTCTGCCTTGTATGAAAAATTAAATCTTTAATATGAGTTCACGACAGTCCTGTTTGACATTTACACCAAGGAGAATGGTTACTTTTGACTAAACTGAACCGAGAGACGAAGATGAAAGCATTTGACTAAATTTGGTGAACTCTTGGTGAAAGGTTGATAAAAGACTTTTAAAAATGCGCAGAAATGTTGAGCAAACTCTGAAACAAGGCTGCTATTGTAGGTAGCAGAGAGACGACAAGCTGAATACACTTAAAGGTTTTGGCTCAGGGTTGGCGCACAGGAAAAAAAGCACACTTCCATCCAGTCGTACTCAGATTAGAAAATTGGGGTGAGAGGGGGAGTAATGTGCAGGTTTACTGGCAGGGCTGCGTTGATTAGAAAGGTGCTAGTGTTCACAAGGAAGGGGAGCAGCAGTATTCAGTAACAGCACCTCTTCCTTTAGCCAAAGCCAACATCTGGTGCACCAACACAGAGCGGCAGTAGCAGCAGCAGCTTCTCTCTGCTTCCCTTTCAACTCATTATTGCTTTCCATGACTCCTCACATGAAGCTGTTTGGACAGGGTTGTAAAAATTAGAAGAAGTTGTGAATGTGCAGGCCTGTTGGGTGTTCTGGGAGTTTGTTAGGAGTTTATGAGTTGGTTAATCTGAGTTTAGAGAGATAAAACAAATGATGGTCTGCTACTGATTTCTACTCATGAAGCTTACTCTTGATCTGACAGTGAGAAAATGTAACCACAGAAACAGGGGAAGTGGGGAGAGGTCAACATATGGGGTTTGGAAAAGTTTCCCGTATCACTTATTCACTTCATGAATGAGTCTTTCTAGATTGAGTCAGGAACACCTTCATCCTGAAATAAACCACACATTGTGTTTTATACATCCACATTTAATTAAAAGTAAGAATAAAAAGGAAGCGTTGTTAACTTAATGATGCTCCATGGGACTCTGTTCACAGACTCTGGAAGAAATTGGAAAATTAAGAGACTAATAAAAACCAACAAACACACTGCAGATGTTCACAGCGCAAGTCTGAGACATTCCAGGGTGGCAGATTTAAAAGTTGCTGTGGCATTTTAAAAAATAATCTCTTTTTTGAAATTCTTTCTTTCACCACATATATGTGTGGATGATCTGTAGAACTCAGGCAGTGTGCACGGAGGTAAGTTCAAACTGAAAGGGTTTATTTAACATTTATATTTATGACAGCGTGGAGACGGGGGATGATCAGTGTCATGAAAACATGAAAGGAGCGGAATAAGAGTCTGAGAGTGTGATCTGAAGACTTTAATTTCCACTGAGTCACAGAAGGAGCTCAGTGTGAGCAGAGTGACCCCCTTTGACTGACCTGACATGACCACTTACCATGTTTGAATCGTATTACTGGAATTACACAGCTGCGGTTTTGCAGGCATATTAATACATTAGCATATTTTTATTCTTAGCAGCAGCCCAAGATAAGACCAACAAATAACTGCAAAAATAACCTCCTGAAACCAAGTTTGTTGTTTATTCAGCATCACTGAAGCTCTACTCCAGGTGCTCTGTAAGACAACTCTTTCCATAAATACTGTCACAAACCGTCTCTTGGTTAATGGTTGAATTCTTGGTGGAATTATTTTGGCAATACGACAATTCATGAAAGGATTAGCAAATGCGCAATGTGAGCTGTAATATATCTGCGGTATCAACCCATCAACAGACGTTATATTAATATTTGAGTGTGTGAGAAATGTGAGTATCTGCATACGTGTGTTGTTTGCGTTGCGGTGTTGGATGTGAGTAAGGCTGTTGTCAACCCAGCAAGCTGCCGCTGCTACACCTCTGACCAACAGAAAATACATGAGTCACATCTTATAAGTGCGGCTGCCCAAAACGTAGAAATTCTGAAAGCCACCCAGAGGTATTAATGGCTCTCTGTCCTGGGCTTTTTTCTCTTTTCTGTTGCCACTGAGTCAACTTTAACCCCTTGTGAACTGTTAATATCAACTTTACTCAGTGTAATTGCGCAACTTCTTTGGGTTTTTTTGTGAAGACCTTTAGATGTCTAAGCCGTTCCCTCTAGGAAAAGTACATAAATAAACATGATGGTGTAAAACTTCAGGTGCACCTCAATCATTTTTTCTCCCTCTTTCCCAATTTGACCTGCCCTAAACTCAGAAACTCCACTCCAAAGATGCCTCTGCCACTTCTGGGCAAACAACGCTCGGCCACAGCTTCATGCCCTTTAGGGGAGGCTCATACTTCCTTTGGCTGCACTGTGACCTCCATGCCCACAAGTCCCAATATCAACATTTGCAAGGTGTGATGTTTTACCTTGCAGTATGTTGACCAACTTCTGACTTCAACAGATCATTTTTTCTGTGTGTGCAGACCAAGTTTTATCTCAGTGACCCTGAGGCATTCAAAAGATAAAGTGAAAAGTATCTTCTGACAGTGAATACGGAGATAAAAAATATTTGGATTCTTACAAGGAAGGACAAAAAAGAAACAGAACACTGGTTGCTGATCACCTGATTCAGCAATTACACAGTGATGACTTACACTATATGCCTAAAGTATTTGTTCACCAATCCAAATTATCGGAATCAGGTGTTCCAATCACTTCAATGGCCACAGGTGTATAAAATTAAGCACCGAGGCATGCAGACTGTTTTAAAAAATATTTGTGAAAGAATGGGTCGCTCTCAGGAGCTCAGTGAATTCCAGTGTGGAACTGTGATAGGATGCCACCTGTGCAACAAATCCAGTCGTGAAATTTCCTCGCTTCTAAATATTCCACACTCAACTGTCGGCTGTAATATAAGAAAATGGAAGCGATTGGGAACAACAGCAACTCAGCCACCAAGTAGTACGCCACATAAACTGACAGAGCAGGGTCAGCGAATGCTGAAGCGCATAGTGCAAAGAGGTCACCAACTTTCTGCAGAGTCAATCACTACAGACCTCCAAACTTCATGTGGCCTTCAGATTAGCTCAAGAACAGTGCGCAGAGAGCTTCATGGAATGGATTTCCATGGTAGAGCAGCTGCATCCAAGCCATACATCACCAAGTGCAATGCAAAACGTCGGATGCAGTGGTGTAAAGCACGCCGCCACTGGACTCTAGAGCAGTGGAGGCACAATCTCTGGAGTGACAAATCACGCTACTCCATCTGGCGATCTAATGGACGAGTCTGGGTTTGGTGGTTGCCAAGAGAACGGTACTTGTCTGACTGCACTGTGCAAAGTGTAAAGTTTGGTGGAAGGGGGATTATGGTGTGGGTTTGTTTTTCAGGAGCTGGGCTTGGCCCCTTAGTTCCAGTGAAAGTAACTCTGAATTCTTCAGCATACCAAGAACTTTTGGACAATTCCATGCTCCCAACTTCGTGGGAACAGTTTGGAGATGGCCCCTTCCTCTTCCAACATGACTGTGCACCAGTGCACAAAGCAAGGTCCATAAAGACATGGATGGCAGAGTCTGGTGTGGATGAACTTGACTGGCGTGCACAGACTCCTGATCTCAACCCTTTGGGATGAATTAGAGGGAGACACTGAGAGCCAGGCCTTCTCGTCCAACATCAGTGTGTGACCTCACAAATGCGCTTCTGGAAGAATGGTCAAAAATCCCCATAAACACACTCCTAAACCTTGTGGACAGCCTTCCCAGAAGAGTTGAAGCTGTTCTAGCTGCAAAGGGTGGACCAATGTCATATTGAACCCTATGGATTAGGAATGGGATGTCACTTAAGCTCATATGTGAGTCAACACAGGTGAGCGAATACTTTTGGCAATATAGTGTATATCATCGTGCTATCCCACATCTCAACATTGTATGAGAAATGCACCACTTCAATTGACCTATTACCTTTCATGTCACAGATGGGTTTCAAGCTCCAGTCAAGGACAAAGTCAGGAAACTGGTGTAGAAGGATTACAGACTGACTATCAGAATAATGACTGGGCAACTGGGATTGAACAGAAAGTCAATCAGGACCATCTAATTGCATGATTTGGATACGGGGACTTTCTTCGGTCTACCACTGGAGGCTCTTCACCGTACTGGAAGACCAGGGTCTGTTCCCCAGTGATGATGTTGTCCAAAAACGCTGGGTTGCCTTTTTGCAGCTCCAGATCATTCAGGGACACATCCACAGGGTGGGTCTTTTGGTCCTCAAAGAGGAAGTTGGGCTTTAACTTAGTGCAAATCTTCCAAATGCCCAACTTGTCCAATAAGAACGTCCTGAATGACTCCCAATTTAATCCAAATTGCTCACCCGTCATTCTGATCATCAGTCTTCCATCACTCCACACCAGTTCCTTGACCTTCTGGATGTTGACATCGATTCTTGTTGTTGAGGGATGTCTGGGTTTTGTCTGGGTGTCACATCTCGCATACATGAATTCATATCAACCTGATAAAAAAAAATGTACAATTATGTGGTCTTTAATATTCCTTAAGTCTTTATCTGTGTCCTTGCTTACTTCCTTCTCACATCATGCAGACTGTAAAATTGTGTCAGAGATGTCATTTCTTCAAGGTATATTCACCAAATGTCTCAGGGGAGAAACTGGATGTTTTTCACCAAGTGACTAAACATGATCAAAGACCACAAAGAAGGATTCAGAGTTAGATTAAAGTGTCTCTTGACAAAGTCACACTGATAAGGAGGGAGGAGGTTTCCAAACTTGTTTGACCACCCAGAACACTTACAAGTCTAATTTCAGCATTAATTGTGCCAAAGATAAAAAAAAAAAAAAAAACTCTATCAACCTCCATTACCACTTTTGCAATCGACATAAGTCCTTTATATTTCCTTATTAACTGTTTTCTATAGTTAACAACTCTGCCATGATTATGCAGCTTCCTACAGCTGATTCCTTGCATTGCCTGTCAAAGTGAATCCACAGAATGATGAACGTCTCCAGACCAGATGCTGTGGAGCAATACCTCCACTCAGGAGCTGTGGCTGAGGCTGTGCAGTCCTGCTGCTTTCTGTTGACCCACTGGATGATTTGTAAAGTGCTTCTTTGACGCCTGGTTGGAGATGTTATCAGAGTCGGGGAAGTCTGCTCCTTCTCTCTCTTTGACTCTGCAGAGCTCATAAAACAGCAGGAATAGTAAGTGAGTGTTGGTGAGCTCTGTGGAGTGGAGTGGGGAACAGTGTCTGTGATTGTGTCTGAAGGGCCCCACAGCCGCCCTGAGACTCACATCTCCCCCACACACCGTGAGTGAGGGTCTTTTTCTGTAGACTCTCTGTCACCCGTGGCTAAACCCGGTCCGATGGGAAGATGTTTTTTTACTTGCTTTCTAGTAATTTGTAAAGTTGGCAGTGTGGTTCATTGAAATCAAAGGACCATGAAGTTGCATGAATAAAGCTTTTGGCTGCTTTTAAAATGTGAAAATTTGCACCAGAGCAATCGACCTATTAGAATAATGTGCAAATGCAGCCGAAGTATCACTAATGTGAGATGTAAACTAACCATTAACACCTGGATGTAGTAGAAATACCTCTGTATGGTTGTTTTTTTGATGGGGAGGGGGCAAATGTTATTTCAGTGAGGCAGTAAGGCACATGGGCGGGGTTAATGAGACCGCTCGGAAAGTGAAATGCTTTCAAAGGAGACTGGAACAGTTTAGAGAGGCACTGACGATGGAGGAGTAGCTCTGTGGGTTGTTTAACTGCCATCTAAGTGTGTAAAGGGTCAATTTTTTTCTATATTTAAGGATATTTTTTTCAACTTGAGCCTCACTTCATGATGATTTGGTGACAATATACTGGATAAAAAGCAGTTTTAGCTGATAAAAAGTATCACAGGAACCATGGCAACAACAGCTCTGACTGGTTTCTCCATGATGAGTCTGCTCAGCCTCGGGTACCTGACCTGGGATCTGATGAGCCCGAACCAGGTGGAAAATGAGCCCAATCAAAGCTTTATGGACAGATCTCCGGTCCCGCAGCCTCCTCACATCATTTTCATCATGACAGATGACCAGGGCTTCAATGACATCGGGTATCACAGCTCAGACATCAGGACACCGGTGTTGGATAAACTGGCTGCTGATGGAGTGAAGCTGGAGAATTATTACATCCAGCCTATCTGCACTCCGTCCAGGAGTCAACTCATCACTGGCAGGTAGAGAGTTTGTCCTCCTGCTCTTTGTGGTCCAAAGTTCCTAAATAATTTGCACTGAATACTCACTGCTAGGTTAGATTGATACTTTCTTGATCCCCTAACAAAAACTGCAGTGTCGCAGCAGTTTATGTGTCACAAAACACACATGACTTAGTCCGTAGAAAAGAAAAGCACTGTTATTGTTAAAAGCACTGCACTAGAGAAAAAAAAAAGATTGAAAATTCTCTAGTAGAATGTGTGAAGTCAATGGGATTGGAATCTTTCTAGGATTATGTTACTGAGCACACAAATACAAACATCTGCTGAGTTTTCACAAAGTTGGTAGCGCACACGTCTGATTAATGAGATGATAACTTTGGATGTATTTTGCAGCAAAGTAAGATATTTGTTTTGGGAAGCCGTACCACTCAAATGAGCGAAAATAGGCAGAACCAACATCTGTATGTATGTATGTATGTATGTATGTATGTATGTATGTATGTATGTATGTATGTATGTATGTATGTATGTATGTATGTATGTATCTTAATATAATATTAAAAGGTAATACATACATTATTCTAGCCTACAAACCCAAAGGAAGGTTATTTTTGTGTGTGTGTCCTAGCATGTTCCTGAACCTCAGTTAAAATGCCATCTTATGTTTTTTTCCGCTAAAATCAAATATAATTTATGTTGTGTCACAAACAAAACACATGCAAAGCTGTAAAGAAGTTCCTAGATGTTCATTTCTTTTCTAAAATAGAAACTTTGTTGCCTGAAAATGTACAATTATTCCTGAGTTTAAATGAACATCAGTGTTTCAGACTTCAGCATTAGGTTTTGAGCATGATATTTGTGACTAAATATATTAAACAGACATATTTAGGTTCTCACAAGAAGTACACCTACTTTAACATAGTTTGTTATTTATGTTTGAATTGTATATTATTCTTAAATAAATGGCGGTCAATGTTATAAAAAATCGTATACCAGGTCTCACAACAAAAGCATGTACAGTCTTTCCGCTGCTCTGCATGTGTGTTTTCATGTCACTGCACATTGTTTAAGGAAGGAAATGGGGGTGGGTCTCCTGCTCCCCCTCCCCCTCCTTTTCTGTAGTCTTTTATCCCGCTGTCCCCCCTTACTCATTTTACAATCTGGATCTGATAGAATAACACTGATAATGCATTTGTCCTTATGCATGTTTTTTTAATCATTAACTCTACAGGTATCAAATCCATACTGGTCTCCAGCACTCCATCATCCGGCCCCGCCAGCCCAGCTGCCTGCCCTTCGACCAGGTCACCCTCCCCCAGAGGCTTCAGGAGCTCGGCTACTCCACCCACATGGTAGGCAAGTGGCACCTGGGCTTCTATAAGAAGGAGTGTTTGCCCACTCGCCGTGGCTTTGACACATACTTTGGCTCCCTCACGGGAAGCGTGAACTACTACACCTATGACTCCTGTGACGGCCCTGGGCTGTGTGGCTTCGACCTCCATGAGGGGGAGTCGGTCGCCTGGGGTCAGAAGGGCAAATACTCCACCCATCTGTACACACAGCGAGTCCGCAAGATCCTGGCAACCAATGATCCTCAGTCCCAGCCGCTGTTCATCTTTCTCTCCTTCCAAGCAGTACACACCCCTCTACAGTCACCGCGAGAGTACATCTACCCATACCGCGGGCTGGAAAACGTGGCACGCAGGAAGTATGCAGCGATGGTCTCAGCTGTAGATGAGGCAGTTCGTAATATAACATACGCTCTCCGCAAGTACGGATACTATCAGAACAGTGTCATCATTTTCTCTACTGACAATGGCGGTCAGCCTTTGTCAGGAGGCAGTAACTGGCCACTCAGAGGACGTAAAGGCACATACTGGGAAGGTGGCATCCGGGGTCTGGGATTCGTCCACAGCCCTCTGTTGCGGAAGAAGAGGAGGGTGAGCAAGGCGCTGGTACACATTACTGACTGGTATCCAACACTGGTGGGATTAGCAGGAGGCAATGAGTCCCTGACAGAGGGCCTCGATGGGTATAATGTTTGGGATGCCATCAGTGAAGGGAAGGAGTCGCCACGGCTGGAGATCCTCCATAACATTGATCCTATGTATAACCATGCACGCAGTGGCTCTCTGCAAAAAGGATATGGGATTTGGAATACAGCCATTCAGGCCTCCATACGAGCTGGAGACTGGAAACTCCTGACAGGAGACCCTGGCTATGGAGACTGGATCCCGCCACAGATGCTTCCAGGTTTCCCTGGCGGATGGTGGAACCTGGAGCGCCACACTGAACCTCGCAAATCAGTGTGGCTGTTCAACATCTCCGGGGATCCCTATGAACGTTATGACTTGTCTGAACAGAGGCCAGATGTTGTGAAAGAGCTGTTAGCCAGACTGGCGTACTACAACCGCACTGCAGTGCCGGTAAGGTACCCGTCAGAGGACCCACGGGCTGACCCTCACCTGAATGGAGGTGCCTGGGTGCCCTGGGTGGGAGATGAGGAGGAGGACAGCTGGGACAGTGTTTACCAGAAAAAGAATATGGATTGGAAAAAGAAGCTCAAACTGTCCAAAAGCAGAGCATTTTTCAGGAGACTCAACACGAGGATCATGTCCAACAGGATATAGAAAAACACAAGACTGAAAAAAACAGTGTCATATCAAGAATAGTTCTGCTTATTGACAGAACATTTGAAGATGTGTTTTCACAAAAAGGAATCAAGTTTGTGCACAAATGACCTGCATTTACTGAGCTGTGGCTGCAGGTGTCAGATCAGTCTCTGTAGAAGAACTGATTCAGTGACTGTTTCCATTATTCTCTTTGTTTGTATCTTTTTGAATAAAAGTGTTTCTAAAGTGACTATTATAAACTTAAAAATGTGAGCAGAATCTATTTCACAAGATGACACAAGCATGTAAGCAAATAGGTTTTGTTATCATAGATGGAGACTGCAGTCTTAGAAGGGGCTGTTTTACAAAAATGTGTATTTGACAAGGTGATAATGAGAAATCATCTGGGACTATCTGTACCTTTTAATTAATGTAAATGATGACTACCTCTGTGTCAATGTGACATTAATTGCAAGCTCTGTTTCCTTTCTTCAGACTCTACTTCTTTTATTTATTTATTTTACAATTTTTAAAATAGAAGAATAATAGAACTGGGTTTTTGTGCAACTCCGACTCTGTTTCTGTCAGTTTTTCTTTTGTATTTTTCATAATTCACTTGGTTAATCTCCCTAATATTAGAAGAGGTTTTCCTTCTTCTCCTCCTCAGGTTGACAAATCTTTTTGCCATGCAGCAGCTTTAGAATTAAAATGAGCTCATGGGTTTTTGCTGAAAGCAAAGCACATTTAGACATTTGTCACAGCTACTTAATACGAGCTTATTACAGCATTATTACTGTCAAGGGGATTAGCAACAGACATCTTATTAGACAGAAATCTGACAGTGAATTCTATTCTGCTTCAACAAAATGTTTTTAAAATTACTCTGAATGGTTTAGCCAGATATTCGATGAGAGTATATTTTGAAATGGTTATTTAGAGAAACGGGCAAAGGTCTTCTGTCTGCCACAGTGTTCCACATCTTACATCTTACCATCGAGCAGAGCAGTTAATAAACCCTAAGTATGTCTTACCTTCTCAGTGTATACATTCGTGCACAGTCCATTTTCACTTCCATTTTTTGGGCAGGGCAAGAAGAAGTTCAAAAACTGAAAATCAAAGCTCCCATGGAAATAGTTACCATGTGGTCGAAACATGTGGAAACTGTTTTTTAGTGTGATTCTAACACAGACGGAAGAAAGATTTGTTTACATGCAGTGGGTATTTCATCCGATCACCTCACTCTGGCAGGGGGCCAAAGACTTTTGTTTTCAAGAAGTGAGACCGTTCATTTCCTGCTTTTCTGCAGACACTGTACCAATAGCATCATGCATTCACTGTCTTCCTTCAGTATCTGGCACAACATTTGAGTTGAGGCTCACTGCAAATTTATATTAGCAGCTTTATGTTCTGGATTCTTTTATGGATGAGAGGAATATGGAGTATTTTCTTATTCTTGCGATGATAGTAGGAGGAACACACGGTAAGATCATTATCACAAAGAGACAAAATGAACTGTTTTTTGAAGTGAATGATTTTAACTTATTGAAATGTTCTGTTCAATTTATCTTTCCCAGCTTTCTTCCCGGTTGCTGAGACTAAATGCAACGCCACCCAGAACATATCTCTGTGCTCTGTCGTCCTCGGAGGATCGGTGTATATCCAAGTGATGACCAATGCCAGCGGCTACAATCTGCGGTGTAAGAAGGAGCTTCCCAGTGGATCCATAATGGTGTTCAGTGCGAAGAAAGACAAGGTGACAATACAGGAGGAATTTAAAAACAGAACAGAGTTTTTCATCAACAATGGGACGCTCAAGATCACAAAGGTGGAGAGGAATGATTCGGGGCAATACAACGTAACGGTTTTTGATCCAAATGGGCGCCATGTGAAAATGATGAGCTTTAAACTGGATGTTGAAGGCAAGTATTTCGTTATGCAACCTCATCTTCCAACTTACTCTTATGCTCCAGAAATGTTATAAAGAAATGCAATTGTCACATGGGAGTGAAAATGCACCAGCTGAGCAACATGAGGTAGTTGAAAATGTATCACAGACTTTATTCATAGTGTTGCTCAGATTCTTTAGATTGTTCACTGAGAACAAAAAGTCTGCTATGGATTTTGTATTCACCATATTACATGTACTGCTGCTGTTCATTTATTTCCTTAATGTGTGCGACTTGTACTCAGTACTGAGGAAAGATGTAGAGAAAAGGTGTGGTTCAGTAACAGGAACTGACTGTGGTTTAACGGCAGCTTTTTGCATTTCTCACCTTTCTGTTCTTTCATTCTGGTCATATTTTATGTGCCACCTCAGCTGTGAAATGAGATTTTGTTTTTCATGAAATGTCAGTCCTCAGAAGGCGTGTGAACCTGATTTTTCATTATTTATTTATTTATTTTTAAAGCTTTGCAGTACTTTTTTTTATTTTTATTTGCCTAAGTGTTCAACACCTTGGAGAGTAGCTACAGACCAGCAACTGCTGTCAATTTCCTGTTAAATTCCTTTGGTAGTTTAACACTAACTGGTGTACGTTCCCATATGTGCCAGGCCAGATTGAGTTCCTTGTATTTGGATCAGGTTATGAAGCCAAACTAGAAGGTGCATTGTGTAATTTTAGCTGTTTAAAAAAAAGCAGGATGTGTGATTTTGCAATTGTAACTTGTTGCTTCAATGTGAACACAACACCACAAACCGGCACGTGTCCTAATAAATGTGGACATTTAGAGTTGCACAGCTACAGTTTTTGAGACAAAAACAAGGCACGTGTGCTTTGAAAAGAAGGATGAGTGCTCAGTGATGAAACCCAACCCACTGCGCCCTCTACTGATAAATTTAGTAGCTCACTATGTTGCTCCTCATGTCCCCCACAGCTACCATTATAGATAAGTCAGATGAGCAGAAACAGCCAGCACATCACCAGGGTTATCAAGTGGGCACCTCCCTTCACTCATGTTTTGTTAAGTTAGACCCACAACACCTTGGAGAGGCTTAACAGTGAGCTCTGGCATCCCAGAGCCACCCCGCCCCCATGCCAGCTCTCGCAGCCCACCATCTCCACTAACAGAACAGCCCAATATAACAACACAACCTATACGGTATTGGCAGTATTTCCATGGACCCAGGCTCTGTACATGGAAGTACTAGGTGGTGACAACACTGATACTACCTACCCTGCTTTGACCCCCAATTGACATTATTGTTCTTCATCCATATCCCCTGACTTGCCTTATCTGCTTAGTCTGACATTTCCTTTACCATCTTCTGTCTATGCAATCCCAATTCTCCCACAAATGAGGTAGTTGATCGTGCTACAAACCCTCTACATCAGGGGTCTCCAATCCTGGTCCTGCATGTTTTAGATGTTTCCCTCTTCCAACACACCTGATTCAAATGATCAGGATCGTTATCAGGCTTCTGCAGAGCTTGATGATGAGCTGATCATTTGAATCAGGTGTGCTGGAAGAGAGAAACATCTAAAACATGCAGGACCAGGATTGGAGACCCCTGCTCTACATCCTACTTCTACTGGTCAAACCCTAATGTTCCATCCTCGTTGTTCTGTTTATGCTGCCAACTCTGCGTATCTAAGCTTTTTTCTTTCTTTCATACACCTCCTCTACTGAGTCATCCCAGGTCAAGTCTATGTAATAAACTTTCCACTGACTGGTCGATCATAGCACTATGTCAGGCTTCAGGTTAACGCAAACTATCTCCTGAGGCACTACAAATTTTGCTCCCAAATCTACCTGCAAATCCCAATCATTAACACCCTTTATGAGGCTTGACCACCTGTTTACCAGCCTACCTTTTCTGGCTGCACTCTTTCCCTGATTACACCCTAAATCCACCTGTTGTCTCTTACTTTAAATCCCCACCGCTAAGCTTTTCAACACCTGGTTATGTCGCCATGTACAACAGCTGTTTCTGCACACTATGGACACGATGTGTCCCCCTCTACCCAAAGTTTCAGATTTTGGTGTGATGGGACCACATTGTAAATATCCCCAAACAGGAATCTAATGTGGTTATCCTCCATGCAACACAGGTCCCTCCAGATAAGTGTCTTCTTTTCTATACTCCTCAAATTTAACCGCTATCCCTGCTTGCCTGAGCCACTGACAGATTTAAAGGACTACTTTCTTTCTGATCACAATCCTCCTTGTCAGTGTTGTTTGCCATTGAGATGGTGGATTAAATGTAGTGTAAGAATACCACCCAGATTAACAAACATGAAAGTCTGCACTTGAATACTGCACAGGTCATATAGTTATCACTGTGGTCTCTTTCCTCAGGAAATTATTTTCACATCCTAATCTCAGTCGGTGTTGCAGTGGGTGCTCTCCTGATACTGGTGTGCTCCTGCTGCTGTGTGTGCAGAGCAGTGAAGCGTCGGAAGAAGTCAGGTAATTACATGAATTCCCATGGTCAAGAAAAGGTCCATAAATAATAATATATTTTCAGTTGGTGATAAAGTCAAAGCCTTTTGTTCTGTTTTAAGTGTTCTGTGTTCTGTGCAGGCTCAAGTACATAACTGAGAATATAAAACCTTCAGTATGACTTTGGACTTCAGCTGAAGACCGTCATCATCGATGGACACTGAATACATGACCCTAAAAACCATCACAAAGCAGGACTTTTAGCATACTTGCATACAAGCTGGAAAAACTAGGAAGTTTTCATTTTGTATCTTGCATTGGTGTTGAAGAATTTAATAAAACAAAAACTGAATTCCAAAAGTTGTATGCACCTTGTCTTGATACAGCAACAGCAGCAGCAGCTGTGAAACCACATTTCTGAGGTCACTTAAACAAAGAACAGGATGTAAATCGTATTTGATCTGCTCTTTGTGAAATAATACGAAGAGAATGCTGGTTATAACTGACGGGTTTAAATTTATCTTTCAGGTCAAACTTAAAACAAAAAAAAATCTCTTAAAAAACATTTTAAAAAGCAGTACTTAATTGTGTATTGTTCTCTGGTTACATGTCAAATAAACCTTAATGTGCAATCAGGCATAAAGTTAATAGAATTTTTAATATTCTATTATGACTGGATGTTTTATATAATGAAAGCAGCAGCATTCTGATAACCAGAACTATATTGAATTAAGTTGCATTATTATCAAAAGTAACAATAAATGTAGTGAAATAGTTCCCGAAAACACCCCTATTTATAATTTAGTTGTTGTCTAAAGTTTGAAGTATTTGTGCTGAAAATTGTATAAATGAAAGACTTTGATGACCACCAGGCAGTGAATAATTAAAGCATTTTATTTCTTTTGTCTGTGGAACTGGAATTCAGCTCATCAGTCATGCTATGGTGTCAAGGCTGTGTTTGGGTTTTACTCAAACTTCATCACGCTTAAGCAACAACTGTAAACAATTGTCTTGTTTCGTTTTCAGGCTGGATACAAGAAGCATGTGCGTCACTTTGCATAATGTATGTCTTAACTGCACAGACAGTTGCTATGGTATGGTAGGACTTAAGCTTCATCAGTGTAAAATTGAAATGAAAATTGTTTTTTTCTGTTATTTTTTAGGATCTTATATTGGCATTTTATTTCCTCCACATCATGATATGAACAAAAATTTATCAGTGTGTGAACATGAACCTTGTACAAGTACTTTATTTAGATCTAATCAGATTGTTCATTAGACAGGCTGAATGCAAAAAGAGGACCTTTGTGAGAAAATCTGCATGCATGGTTTGCGTGTTGATGGTCTCTCTTTTTTGGCAGCTTGTTTCACTTCCCTCATCGATTAGTGCAATGACAATCTTTCCTTGTATAGCACGGTGAAACTTAACGTGTCATTTTAATACACGGAACTTGAAAACTTGAAAATGTCCCAAAGCTATTCCTAAACTTCTGACATTTTCTGTGAAGCCCAAACACTGATTGTTAAATAAGACTATTGCAAATTGAAGACAAACTTTTACAGATTTCTCAGCATAAATTGAACAATAATGTCTTGAGACACTGCGTTGTGCGAACACAGTTTCTTGTCATTCTGTTGCCACTATGAATGAGGAACTCATGCGATCTTTGCAACATTGGAAATAACACAACAAGAAGTATGTGTGAGAACATGGGTTTGAGGTTTGTCTGTTTGAGACAGCCTGTTAGTAAGACTGATATATAAATGTACACCCTGATTATATATCTTAAACATGACTGTGTAAAACTGGCTTCATACCCTCAGCACATAAAAGCGTCCTGGTTCACTTGTTTAACTCCTTTAGCCAATTTAATTCAGTGAGTGAAACGGCACATCGATCTACAGTAAGACATTATAATGTTACAGTGAGTGCAGAGTGGTTATGTGTGAGCATATCAATTGACACGTTTTGACTCTTTGTGCTATTATGATCACATCCTGCTTGGCCTGAGTTTACACCTTCTTATCTGAAGCTGAAGTATAGTCACACAGAACACTTCAACTTCATCTTTTATCATGTGCTCTGCTGCTCAAACCCACTCTTGAACCAATTTTATAAAGGACTCATTAATTAATGAAATATGATTAAATGTTGAAGGAATCGTGTTTTTATAGATACTTTGATCTGCCAGTGGCTGCAATAAATACCAACTGAAGACTTTCTTTGCTTATACTTTAACTGGTGCTTGTGGATAATTACTATTTACACACACAAAAATCTTAACATTTACATTGCTTTTTGAATACATAGTTCAGTGACAAATCGCTAACTTTTATAATTGGACCAACACTATGCATCGTGACTCACTTTTCAGCACCTAGCATGAGTGTTTTGGGATATTAACCAATGAAAGAAAGATACAACAACCACCATTACACAAACCGACACTCACATACCAGTGAAACAACCTAAATCCAAATGTGTGTCATTATGAAACAAATGACACTTCATGTAGCGTTCATGTTTGTGACTCTGTCACTGAGCTGTTATATCAACTGTGTGTTTTATCACTGAGGTCACAGTTAGTGGTGGGTTGTACTGGGCTGCCCCCATTCACACATGTAAGTGTGAAGAACAGAAATAAACAGTAACTGCTCTCAGTATAATGTAGTTGAATAAAAAAATATATCATAACACCAGAATGTGAACATCCTGAGTTTTTTTTTTTTTTTTTTAATCCAGATGTTACATCAGATCTGTTGTTGATGTCATTATACTATATACATGTGCCAAACAAAGTGTTCACTGAACTGTGAATTGCAGTTTGTAAAGTATTAATTACTGTATGTTTGTGATGGATGTAATATTATTCTAGTAACTGATGATGTTCGATAAATGAGACGACTTCTAAGTAATGATAACATCTCAGAAAAAAAGGATGTTTGTGTCCTTCTTGGTCAAAGCAATAATCATGCTGTTGTCACTTCCTTTTTCAACTCAACACAACCAGGGTGTTAACAGCTTCTCTTCTCAGGCTGATCAGTTATAGTTGGCATTTCTGATACTTGTGTGTACGATAAATGTGCACGCTGATAAATGAATTGATTCAACAACCACTGAACAGTAAAGAGACATGGAAGCTGTGGTGGGACTGCTGGTGATGCTACTTGGAGTCTCTCATGGTGAGATGTTCAACGATTTTCACATTATTAATGTCGGATTTATTGTTTCAACAAGATGTTTAGCAGCAGTGGGGTCAACTGTAGTCAGTAAATGAAGCCTGATATTATCCTCAGTGATGTGTGAAGCAGCCAAAGTACAAGAGACCAGCTGTGGTTCAGTTTTCTTTTTCTTCTTTTTATGATAAAATTCTGAGCTCAATTCCACATTAATGTGCATTTCAAGTGAATATAATAATTATGGCAGATGAGTTATTTGACTGTCCGAGATTTGACTGTTGGATTTGGTTTTGCATGAAAACTTACTGATAAACTGATGCAGCCACAGGATTATTTATAATCACCACAATTCTCTGTTTGATCAACAGGAAATATTGTAGTTTCTGACACTGGAGTCAGTCATGGAGAGGTTTTCAGTTTCTGCAAAAGTTTTAAAATTAAATATTTTATAATAATAGAGGCAAGCATCAAGTCTACATACAGTTACAGTACACATATAACACGATGTTTGTTCATTTTTTTCAGTTTTCTGAACTGATGATGTTATATATTCACTTTGTTTTTGTTTATCTGCTTCATTTTTTTAAAAAATGACGTCACAAGTTTTGCTTATTTGTTGGCATATGAAGCCTCTCTAAAAGATATCTGAAGTATAAGACAGTCTAATGCTCTTTACTGGAGTCATGTTTTCATTGTTGTGTGTGCAATCTCTGACAATATTCTTAATTTTTTGACTCTATATTTAAGTACAGTCTGAAGCAAACTGAGCGTAAAGCAAAATGTTACAATCATAAAAGAGGATCTGTTGTTGCTGTATTTCTAGTCGCTAGCATTGCTGTAAATGTCAGTGGGAAACATTATCTACATGAGCCATGCTGTAACTCTGCAGTTGTTTTAATTTTAGAGACTAATGTTGGCCTTCAGTCTCTATTTCCTGTTGTATGAAATGTGTAAAATGGATGAACAGAATCACAGAGTCAGATATGACACCATATATAGCATTGTTCCAACACTTCCTTGTAGCTACTTAATGCTGCTCCGCTCTGAGCGACGTATTCAAAGCTCATGTTTTTATTGCTGCAGCACTAATCCAAATGAATGTTTTGAGTTCATCATTTTATACATATTGGCTTAAAGAAGATAATTTGTTATCTTGGGTTCCTAATGGTTCTACAGGGAAGGCAACTGATTTTCTACAGTTAGAAGAAATGTTGAGATGTCTTACTTAAGTTAAAAAGAAATAATACAGTGTAAGAATAATCCATTTACAGTCACACTTCTTACATTTGCACACTGGTCTGAAAGTAGTGATGTCTGTGGGTTTGATCATCATTCTTTGACGGATTACAGTCGTTTACTTTCTTATTTTAACTTATGCTTCAAAGTTGCGGGGGGTTTGTGATCTCAGGGATTATCTGTGTCATGCTTGCGCAGATCGTTCCAGAGTATCACGAGCAGAGTCACCGCCAAACTAAATGTATGTGATCTCAAATAAATGGTTATAACCTGACAAAGTGTCCTGTCTGAATTACAGTTAGATGATATTTACAGACGTTATGCTAATAAACAATAACATTAACAATAATATAATTTAATGATGGAAGTGCTTCCTTAGACATTCCATTATATTTTCATTTAATCCTTTGGACAAACACTGAACAACTGACTTATAAATTACAGTTAGATGATATTTACAGACGTTATGCTACTGTATTAATAAAATGTGTGTGTTATAACTATGTTTTGTGTGATTTTAAGCTTTTTTTTAAAAAAAAATCTCTTCTACGAGTCGGGTGCTGTAAGTGTAAAGAAAGTTTAGATGAATAATTGAAGTTGGTTGTATAATTACTGAGGATTAACTAAACATTGAGACATAGAGAACACTATTAATGATAAACTGTTACAGCCGTTCTGTTTTATGTGACAGTGAGGCAGCACAACCCTGCAGAAGACACAGTCCAACAGGATTCAACCATCATTAATTTACTCATTTAAACTTGTG